TTAATGTTGCTAAAATTCTGTCAGTTCCACTTTAAATACAACAATGTTTCACACACAAGTTATTTTCAAAGAGATGGCTAACAGCAAGGATGCTGCAATAAAAAAACAGTTCCACTCACCTGATGATGATGATCATTTGAAAATTAACTTGTTGAAAGTTATTCTTACTTTATTGTCCCCATGGGGACATTTTGTTTGTTGCAGTGTCATGTACACGTTTAAAAGTGGTGTTTTTAAATACAGTAGAAAACAAATTGACAATACAAAATTCATAACAGTTACATACCAGTAAAAAGAGACTAGCCTGCTGGCCTTACTGGGTTGATAGCAATATTAGCCTGACCTATTTATGAGGGATATTGTACCTGGCACAAATGATTGTCTAGTTCTGTTTGGCTCCAATTACCTTACTTACTGTGGTGATAATCCTTCTCAGCATATTTTTCTGGCTGACAGTGGCATTGCCAAACCAACAAACAATACAAAAGTTAAAATGCTCTCAATTAAAGATTTGTAAAACAGTCAGTATAGTACAGTCAACATATAAAAGATCCCAGCTTTTTGATAATGTACACTCCGCTGAATCTTTTTATAGATCAGGTCTGTACATTTACTCTACTGAAGCCTATTGTCCAAGAGGACACCCAGATATTTGTATTCCTCTGCAATCTTCTGACCTTTGATAGATGTTGCAGAGGTAGGGGTTGTTCGCTTCCTGAAGTCTATGCATATCTCTTTGGTTTTGTTGGTATTGAGGACCAAGTGTGATTCATCACACCACTCTACAAAGTCATTTAGGACCGGGCCATGGTGTTCGTTGTCATCGTGCAATTATTGAAAAGGGAGACACTAACAAATTAGCAATAACATCCTCCTTGATAACACCTGCTGCAGCCGCTGCAAACTAGCCGACAACAAAAGCTAGCTAGCTAAACCGTAGGAAAACTACTGCTCGCTATTGTGCAGTGACCTGTTGGCCTTCAAGAAGGCAGAAGTTTCCATACGCTTTTGTAAAAACGGTCTCACCCATTAAGTCAAAATGTGATTGGTTGATTCTACTGTCACTCCAAAATTGTGCCCTAATATAGTTGAATGGCAGATGCCTTTTATCTAGCTTCTGATGGCCTAGCCAATGGCTGTCTTGGCTAGCTAGATTTATCTCCCCAGAGAAGGCAAAAGAAAATCCTGATTGGATATTTTTTTCTCTTCAGTGTTAACACTTTCCTTTCCAACAAAAAGTGAAGAGATGAAATCAGAACATCTTTTGAAAATAATATTATTTCTGAAGGCATAGAAGGCCTATTGTTCTCCACTGTTTGGGTTAGTGTCAAGATAATTTCAATCTCTAATAGTTAAACTCAACTGTTACTCAAGCTTTGAATAATTCCCAGAGGTTGTAAGACTCTAGTTAATAATGAATTAAACAAACTCTCATTTCTGCAATGAATCAGTTTCTTTATTCATGAGAGCTCTCCAGCTAAAAACACATACAGCCTTTTTATATGCGTTCACACAAAGGAACTTGCTCCGCCCACCTTTAGGAGGCCTGTGACTTTCCACAGTATAGAATGTTTAACAGTTTCTAGGTCTCCTTTCCCATGGAATGTTTGTCTCCAGCAGTTTCTACCCCTCTTCTCTGTTAGAGTTATAAGACAATAAACCACTAACACAGTTTACACTGTTATACAGTATTGGGGTGGAATACTTTAGTCATTTACTTTAAACATAAATACTTCTATCAGTTAGTAATAATTTGTAGATTGGCTCTATTTTCCCTCAGCATGCATTTTATCACTATTCTGAATGTCTAAAGAATCCATATCTTTGAAATATGAACACAAAAGTACTGGACATTTTGAACTCTTATGGTGGTGATTTGACAAAATTACAATCATGGTCTTGAATTGGACTTGCATTTTTCTTGACTCTGTCTCAGACCCCTTGTCCCCCTTCTGGTCTTGACTCGGTCTTGGTCTTGACTCGGTCTTGCTTTAGGTGGTCTCGAACACAACACTATTGCCTACCTACTTGTCACTCTATTGACAGATCTTCATTCCATGTATCTGTATTTCAATGTACTCTATACTATTATGTAGGGTCAGTGAATTGATTTGATGGCAGCTGATAATGGGTTAAAGCCCAGTGAGACTTTGATCACGTCAGGAGTGATTGATAAGAGTTGCACTGCAGTGTGTGTGTATGTAGGCCATGTCACATTGCCCTACAGCAGCCTGTAGCCCGGACCCCTGTCAACTTTGGTTTGTCCAGACGCCAGGGAGGTAACCCTGGGTCATGTGGCTGTGTGTTCTAACAGAAACTAGTATGTGTGTTAACGAGCGCAGCAAAACGCGTGCACGGAGAGGCCCAACTCTCACTAGCCGAACAGCTGGAAGCAACCTATTGAACCTTTGGACCCAATCCCACATGGTAATGTAACATAATGCCCAAGTAGGCTAAATCTAGCTGTGCACTGCCACCATACTCACTTTGATTCTCCAACAAGAAGACACTCTGTGTTTGACCTGACCTCAGAGTTCTGCCTTTTAATAAAGATGGAATAAGTGTTTCAAGCATTCTTATACCAGAGGAGGTACATCTTGTGTAATTTGAGAAAGGTTTACGTTGGCGAACACTGCTGTGAGGTGTCAGGTAGCGTAGCTGTTAGAGCGTTGGGCCAGAAACCGAAATGTTGCTAGTTCGAATCCCCTAGCCGACAAGGTGAAAAATCTGTCGGTGCCCTTGAGCAAGGCACTTAACCCTAATTGCTCCAGGGTTGCTGTTGATAATGGCAGACCCTGGCCATGACCCCACTCTTCGAGGGTGTCTCAGGGGGAGTTGGGATATGCGACAATACACATTTCCAATTAACTTCTATATGTGTGAAATAGGAAAACATTAGTGTTGGCTACATTTGAATATGACTGCAGTATAATAATTTGGTGGTTGCTTATATTTTTCCTATTTCACACATATACAAGTGTGTATTAATACATGTGAAATAGGAAAAATATAAGCAAAGACTAAATAATGTATTATTATTCTGCTGCTGTCATATTCAAATGTAGCCAGCACCGCACCTGAAACCCATCACTCTGCTGCTAGAATGTGACACCTTGCTGCTGGATCAGTTTTCCTGATGACTGTGCTGTGTGTTGGTATACTGCAGATCGAGCTGCTCCAGGGAGAATCAATCAGGGCCTTTTTAATTTGATTAATTGTTGGTGTCAGGGGCCCGTGCTGTTTGGCTGTTGTGATCCCTCAGTCTGTGGTTTTGGGGATATGACGTTCCCTGTGGATTGTTGCTTGCCACTTTGTTCCAGACATGTTTAGGAGGAGGAATTTTGTCTCACTGCTGTGCATCAAGCTGGTGATTCTTGTATTGCAAACCAAATGATTGGTATTGTGTTAACTCGCCTGTTAGATATGTACAGAGTGCAATCTGTTGATGCGTCACTTTGACGTTGTGATGTTCATATGTTTACGTGAGTCTTTGGCAGTTTAGTGTGATGGTGTTAATGTGAGGTTTGCAGTAGCACTGAGACTGAACTTACACATTCACAAATGCGCTGCAAGATTAGGCTTCACCTAAGTGGAGGGAATGGGATGCATGTGTTACTCAATAGTGTAGCTGCACAATGGAGAGGGAATTGATGTTAATTTCAATACAGGACTGTTAGGCCTACTTCAATATTTATATCATTTTCCTCTTTGACCATTTTGATAGGGTCACCCTGAAAGCAATAAACATTAAGAACACCTGCTCTTTCCATGACCGACTGACCAGGTGAATCCTATGATCCCTTATTGATGTTACCTGTTAAATCCACTTCAATCAGTGTCGATGAAGGGGAGGAGACCGGTTAAAGAAGGATTTTTAAGCCTTGAGACAATTGAGACATGGATTGTGTATGTGTGCCATTCAGAGGGTGAATGGGCAAGACAAAATATTTAAGTGCCTTTGAACAGGGTATGGTAGTAGGTGCCAGGCGCACAGGTTTGTGTCAAGAACTGCAAAGCTGCTGGGTTTTTCACGCTCAACAGTTGTGTGTATCAAGAATGGTCCACCACCCAAAGGACATCCAGCCAACTTGACACAACTGTGGGAAGCATTGGAGTCAACATGGGCCAGCATCCCTGTGGAACGCTTCCAACATTCCCTGACGAATTGAGGCTGTTCTAAGGGCGTAAGGGGTATGCAACTCAATATTAGGAAGGTGTTCTTCATGTTTTGTACACTCAGTGTAGATGTGTGTACATATGTGTCTGCCTGCCTGTATGTTAAAATGATGGGATAATGTCATAATCTCTGGACCACTGTCACATTAACACAAATTGTCAGGGATAATGGAATTACATGAGTGGGACATGCTGGCACTGACTCCATTTGTATCAGCAATCCCCCCTACACCACCAGCCCCACTCGCTCAGAGGAAATGCTTTTGCTTATCCAGCATTATCGGCAACTGCACTAAACCTTAAGAATGCGTGGGTAGGCCCTAGTCTTAATGTGTTAATTGGCAGATTTAGAAGTAATTAATTACTTCATGGGATTTGAGAGAATGTGAGTTAATAAATACAATGGCGCATTTGGCAATCAGAAAAATTGAGAAGCTTTGAGAGAAAGAGCTGTTGGAGAGAGACAAAGAAACAGTGAGGGAGAGCGATTTAAGATAATTCGATTTCTGGAGTGACTGAGAGGGAAGGCAAAGTATCAGGGAGAAGGACAGGGGAAATGGTACAGAGGGAGAAACAGAGAGCAGAGAGGGGATAAATCAACTTTAATTTGGAAGCAGCAGGTGTAGACTAACAGTGAAATGCTTACAGGCCCTTCTCAACAATGCAGAGAGAAAATAAAGAAATGAATAGAACAAAAAAGACATGACATAAAAGGAATAAATACACAATGAGTAATGATAACTTGGCTATATACATAAGAGAGTGAGTGTGTGTGTGTCCGGGCTGTGCTGTGAGGAGGGGGGGGGTGAGGCCTGCTGGGTGTGATGGACTGCGGCGGGGTGGGGAGATGTGTTCACTCAGCCAAGAGTCTCCTGGGGGATGACAGAATGGAGCACATTACCCGGGAAGGGAAGCAGTGGGCTGGCCCTCACACACACTTCTTGCCACCAGAACTTTCCCTCCTCTGGATCACAACTCTGTGCGTCAGTCACTTAACACGAGACAGGGAGAGGAACAGCTCAGGTGTAGTGTCATCTAGGAAATATATTGGATTGTGTTTATTCAGGTAAGATTGCTATTGAATATGTCACATGTCAGTCTGTGTAGAATAATTAGTCACTTGGAGACTAGAGCGGTGTTATTTCTATGAAAGCAAATTTGTGATGTCGCACAGCTATTGCAGTTCATCATGTTGTGTTTGACTAGCATAAAGCACTGTCAGGAGGTTTCTGTTATTGTATGCATTGTTTTTGTTTTGGTCCCGTTTAGTCTACGACATGAAACACTAGAAGATACAACATGCTTCCTGAGCAGTGTTCCTTGATAACTTGTTGAACTAATTTGAAACTGGGCAACCCAGGACAGCAGCAGCAGGGTTACTGGGTCCAGCAGAATCTGGCAGACAGAGACAAACACAGAGGAGAGATACTGCAGGGAGAGAGAGGAGCTTGAGGTGAGAGCAGCAGAAGGAGAAATAACAAGGGAGGGAAGAGTGAAACGCACTGAGTGACTGACAGCACAGAAAGGTATAGCAGGGAAGAAATGGATACATACGGAAAAAAAGGGATTGAAGAGAAAGTGGGTGATACAATAGAGGTAAAGAGAAGGAGAGTGAATGATACCACAGAGGGAGAGAGGGTGATTTGTAATTTATTTTGTACATAATGTTTCTGCCATCGTCTCTTATAACCAAAAAGAGCTTCTGGATATCAGGACAGCGATTACTCACCTCGTATTGGACGAAGATTTTTTTCGAAGGATATCCTACAGACACCCGACAAGGCCCAAATCCCCGTCATTCGCATGAGGAAGAGACGGAGATATCGTGGACGTAGGTCGGGGTGCCTTGTAAGGATCCAACGGCGAGCGAGTAAACTGCCACTCCCATCAATCCTATTAGCCAATCTTCAATCATTTGAGAATAAATTGGATGACCTAAGATTACGGTTATCCTACCAACCGGACATTAAAAACTGTATCTTATGTTTCACCGAGTGGCTGAACGACGACATGGACAACATACAGCTAGCGGGCTATACGCTACATCTGCAGGATAGAACGGCTGACTCCGGTAAGACAAGGGGTGGCGGTCTGTGTATATTTGTAAACAACAGCTGGTGCACAAAATCAAATACTAAGGAAGTCTCGAGGTTTTGCTCGCCTGAGGTAGAGTATCTTATGATAAGCTGTAGACCACACTATTTACCAAGAGAGTTTTCATCTATATTTTTCATAGCTGTCTATTTACCACCACAAACCAATGCTGGCATTAAGATTGCACTGAATGAGCTGTATAAGGCCATAAGTCAACAGGAAAACGCTCATCCAGAGGCAGCGCTCCTAGTGGCCGGGGACTTTAATGCAGGGAAACTTAAATCCGTTCGACCTAATTTCTAACAGCATGTTAAATGTGCAACCAGAGGAAAAAAAACTCTAGACCACCTTTACTCCACACACAGAGATGCATACAAAGCTCTCCCTCGCCCTCCATTTGGCAAATCTGACCATAACTCTATCCTCCTGATTCCTGCTTATAAGCAAAAACTAAAGCAGGAAGCACCAGTGACTTGGTTAAAAAAAAAGTGGTCAGATGACGCAGATGCTAAGCTACAGGACTGTTTTGCTAGCACAGACTGGAACATGTTCCGGGATTCTTCAGATAGCATTGAGGAGTACACCACATCAGTCACTGGCTTCATCAATAAGTGCATTGATGATGTCATCCCCACAGTCACCGTACGTACATACCCCAACCAGAAGCCATGGATTACAGGAAACATCCACACTGAGCTAAAGGGTAGAGCTGCTGCTTTCAAGGAGCGGGACTCTAACCCGGACGCTTATAAGAAATCACGCTATGCCCTCCGACAAACCATCAAACAGGCAAAGAGTCAATACAGGACTAAGATTGAATCGTACTACACCGGCTCTGACGCTCGTCGGATGTGGCAGGGCTTGAAAACTATTACAGACTACAAAGGGAAGCACAGCCGCGAGCAGCCCAGTGACACAAGACTTCCAGACAAGCTAAACCACCTCTATGCTCGCTTCGAGGCAAGCAACACTGAAGCATGCATGAGAGCACCAGCTGTTCCGGATGACTATGTGATCACGCTCTCCGTAGCCGATGTGAGTAAGACTTTTAAGCAGGTCAGCCGCAGGGCCAGACGGATTACCAGGACGTGTACTCCGAGCATGTGCTGACCAACTGGCAAGTGTCTTCACTGACATTTTCACCATGTCCCTGACTGAGTCTGTAATACCAACATGTTTCAAGCAGACCACCATAGTCCCCGTGCCCAAGGACTCTAAGATAACCTGCCTAAATGACTACCGACCCGTAGCACTGACGTCTGTAGCCATGAAGTGCTTTGAAAGGCTGGTCATGGCTCACATCAACACCATTATCCCAGAAACCCTAGACCCACTCCAATTTGCGTACCGCCCCAACAGATCCACAGATGATGCAATCTCTATTGCACTCCACACTGCCCTTTCCCACCTGGACAAGAGGAACACATTTACATTGATATTTTAGTCATTTAGCAGACGCTCTTATCCAGAGCGACTTACAGTTAGTGAATACATATTTTTTTATACTGGCCACCCGTGGGAATCAAACCCACAACCATGGCGTTGCAAACGCCATGCTCTATCAACTGAGCTACATCCCTGCCGGCCATTCCCTCCCCTACCCTGGACGACGCTGGGCCAATTGTGCGCCGCCCATGAGTCTCCCGGTCGCGGTCTACGTGAGAATGCTATTCATTGACTACAGCTCAGCATTCAACACCATTGTGCCCTCAAAGCTCATCACTAAGCTAAGGATCCTGGGACTAAACACCTCCCTCTGCAACTGGATCCTGGACTTCCTGACGGGCCGCCCCCAGGTGGTAAGGGTAGGTAACAACACATCTGCCACACTGATCCTCAACACGGGGGCCCCTCAGGGGTGCGTGCTCAGTTCCCTCCTGTACTCCCTGTTCACCCATGACTGAATGGCCAGGCATGACTCCAACACCATCATTTAGTTTGCCGACGACACAACATTGGTAGTACGCCTGATCACCGACAACGATGAGACAGCCTATAGGGAGGAGGTCAGAGACCTGGCCGTGTGGTGCCAGGATAACAACCTCTCCCTCAACGTGACCAAGACAAAGGAGATGATTGTGGACTACAGGGAAAAAAAAGAGGACTGAGCACGCCCCCATTCTCATCGACTGGGCTGTAGTGGAACAGGTTGTGAGCTTCAAGTTCCTTGGTGTCCACATCACCAACAAACTATCATGGTCCAAACACACCAAGACAGTCGTGAAGAGGGCACGACAAGCCTATTCCCCTTCAGGAGACTGAAAAGATTAGGCATGGGTCCTCAGATCCTCGAAAAATTCTACAGCTGCACCATCGAGCGCATCCTGACTGGTTGCATCACCGCCTGGTATGGCAACTGCTTGGCCTCCGACCGCAAGGCACTACAGAGGGTAGTGCGTACGGCCCAGTACATCACTGGGGCCAAGCGTCCTGCCATCCAGGACCTCTATACCAGGCGGTGTCAGAGAAAGGCCCTCAAAATTGTCAAAGACTCCAGCCACCCTAGTCATAGACTGTTCTCTCTGCTACCGCACGGCAATCGGTACCGGAGTGCCAAGTCTAGGTAAAAAATACTTCTCAACAGCTTCTACCCCCAAGCCATAAGACTCCTGAACAGCTAATCATGGCTACCCGGACTATTTGCACTGTCCCCCCACCCCATCTTTTTACGCTGCTGCTACTCTGTTAATTATTTATGCATAGTCACTATAACTCTACCCACATGTACATATTACTTCAACTACCTCAACTAGCCGGTGCCCCCGCACATTGACTCTGCACCGGTATCCCCCTGTATATATAGCCTCCCTACTGTTATTTTATTTAACTTCTGCTCTTTTTTTCTCAACACTTTTTTGTTGTTTTATTCTACTTTTTTATTAAAAATAAATGCACTGTTGGTTAAGGGCTGTAAGTAAGCATTTCACTGTAATGTCTGCACCTGTTGTATTCGGCGCATGTGGCCAATAAAATTTAGATTTGATTTGATAAACAGGAATGCGTCATGGAGCCTCTGATGGGAGCTCATACATGCTTAGTGCTTTCAAAACAACTGGCTGTCAATCACCCTGATTGTAGTGTGGGAGGTTAGGCACGCGTTCTTCATCGAAAAATGGCAGATTATTTTTTTCTTCTTAAAAATTAATAAATAATGATTTTCATGGATTTTTTTTCCTCTTATCAACTGTCCCGAATAGTGTTGTCTTCCCACATCACCGTGGGAACTAAAATGTCACGCTCAGCTGCCTTGTGTTGTTGTACTCTTCTCTGTGAGGGAACATGACTGAGGGCTGTGGTGGAGGAGGAGGGGGGGGGTCTTCTGTGGCCCACTTTGTTCACTGAGTACCTGGGGGACACGCAGAGGCATCCCCCTTGGGGGGAGCAGGGTCCTGTGTCTGGAGGGGATGGATAAATGTTTAATAATGCCCTTGGCTCTAGCCAGCAGTGAGGCAGGCAGTGTTGCAGTCGGGAGCTTCTCTCCACTCCAGGTGCTCTCTGCAGGCTCGTACACGGTATAGTACTGTACCAATAGGCTCCACCCCACTAAGCAGTTAGCAGACTGGCTTATGGGAGCTGGGTCCCTCAGCTTGTTTAACATATTACAGAACAGCCAGCTTTGCCTCTCCGCTCCACTCCACTGTTCCCTCTCTGTGCTGAGGGGTTTGTTTATTCATAGTGATCAAGGCATGCTACACATTTTTGACACCGATGACTGCAGCAGCTTGTAAACATTGGTGCGGAACAAGATGTTGATGCTCTGTTACCATGGCGTAGGGAAGTGTTCTGATCAAACAGAAGCCCAATGGATCACACCATGTTGAATCTGAAGTCCGCACACACTGTATGGCTGTGACAGTAGAAAATCCAGTCATGATTAGACCTACACGAGGAAGGAAATGCGACTTTTTATACAAAGAGAATTCACCTCACAGATGGAGCACTCTTGACTAAGAAAAAGGCTATTACACAGCCTGACTTAAAAAAGAAAAAAAGAAAACAAGTCGTTTTCGATGCTGATGTCTTACTGCAGTTGGCTGTCCTTGGTAGAGGAAACCTTTTTGTGTGTCTCCTCCCTCTTTGAGCTGCCACTGCTGCATGCTCCGGGTCTGTGCCTGGCTGATAGTTATTGCCTGTCCTCCACACAGCACTCGAAATAAAGAGCTGCGTTAATGAGGGCTTTCCTGTGATCGTCTGTGTTTCTGTCAATCTGTCACAAACTGTTCAACCATGTATTATTTGTATCTCTCTGTCTCCACTCTCTCCATGCTCTTTAGGCAGGAGGCTAATATTGACATGCAGGACTAGTTCCTGGGAAGTCCAGAACTCTTATGATTGGGACAATATAGTGGGTGTGGCTGGCTGGATTTAGAGTGTTTGGTGCTGATGACAGTCATTTCATAGGCTCTTGCTGAGTTAGACTACCCCAGAATCCACACCCCTGTATCAAGAAGAATTTAAGTGGCGGTCAGAGAGGAGACTATGTCAATCATTATATATGGAGGTGTGAAAAGGAGGAAGGTTTTCAACCTAGGCTTATCTGGTGTTTCTCAGTGAGAAGTGGCTTGGTATAGACGCCTTGGCTATGATGTCCTGCATATTTACATGTATTATTCACACTCCAGTCTCCTTTTCACCTCATGTATCACCTGTTTTACTTAACATAGGCACATCTTAATAGGTGGTCAAGGTATCCTCTTTTGTGCTCTATTGCTCCTCTATTGTTCCCGCATGCAAGGGGGGATGCCGATGACATCAGAGTGCAACATCAGACCAAATCCTTGAATGGCCTACTCCATGAAGTTTCAACTTGTTTAAAAAACACTATTTTGCGCATGCATATTTTTTTTACCCTTAAGTGTGTGTACATTTATTTATACGTTGTATATTGTTTTTCAACAGGAATATTTCAAAAATAGCTGAAGTGCGTATTTAAATCTGTTGGCAAGGTGAGTGTGGCTGGTCCATGGTCTGGAGCCAGCAAGCCGTGTTAATGGGTCACAGAGTGGTGGTGTTCAGAGCAGCGGTGACGTAGCTGGTAAATAAATAATATACTGTACAGTAGCAGCAGGGGGGCAGGCCAACCGAGAGCAACGCTCCTATCATGCCAGCAACAACTCCATGGCTGAGTTACAGTTGGTACTCAATCATAGCTTAACTATTGGGGCTGTTGCTACTGCCTCGCTCTCTCTCTCTATGGGCTGAGCTCTGCTGCTGCTGCCTCTGACACAAATCTCTGGGTCTGGGACTGGGGTGACGGGCCGAGGAGGCGTGAACTTATCAATCACACTCACTTTCTAACTCCAGCTCTCTGCTAACAGCTTAGCCTGCCACAGGAATGATTTCTGAGCCCGTCTGACTTGGGAACCTGAGAACCTGTTTACAAGTGTTTGGGCTGCGTGCAACCTGCCAAATCCTGTGATGGATCAGTGACACTTCATGGGGTTAGAACTGCAGTTAGAGAGACATTGTTTTGTGTGTTTGGGTTGCAAAGTGCATGTTGCAAAGTGACCTGTGCTAGTCTGACAGTACAAGCGAGGCTCCTCGGAAGGATTGAGAATTTAAATTGATATGAAGTTGCTCTAACCTTATCAAGTCACTAGGTTGCTTTGAGTGTCTCATCATCCAGATGCTGCTGAACGTGAGCATGTGGATCCCGCTCCTCTTCTCTGGAGTGTGACATGCATAGATTCTGCAGGGGGAGTGAGTAGGCTAGCAGCATGTTGTAGTTCCAGAGCCATTGCAGCTGTGGTGGGTGGAGCCACTGGGCCCTGCTCAACAGCATTCATAACCGTCTGCATGTTGATTGGAGCGTGTTGCGAGCGCTACGACATGACGCCATAAGCGATTTGATTGCCTTTTTATCGGCTGGTCCCCCTTGAGGGATAGAGGGTGGATTCTCTTTCTGCTGCAGAACGGGGATAGAGAAAGGGAGACAGTTGGTGGGGATATGACGGGAGCACAGGGAATTAGAGGTGGAGAGAGAGGTGAGTGAGATGATATCTGGGATGTGCGGGCTCTCTGTCTGAGGTAAACCACTCCATCAGCCTTGTGAAAACCACTCTCCTCCACAGACAGACCTCTTCAGCCATGCATCATTACCAATGTAATTAGACAGAAAATTTAAATGAACCATATCTCAAACCTGAGGGCCATGTTGTCTAAAATATGTCTTGGGCAGCGCTAGCTCTAACATCCCCACTCAGTTATCAAGTTTCTGCTCATGTTCTGACCCACTTAAAGATAAGACTCACTGAGAGAGAGCCTCAGTCAGTACCTCATCTGTATTGCAGTCAACAGGTAGGCTACATTTTCTATGAGCCAGACAGAGCTTGTTTATCAGTTCAGTCTGAGGCTTAGAGAGGAGCATCAGAAATGATGGAAGTCCCCATCTGCCCTCAGACCTGCAGAGAGTTCCTTTAATCATGACACACTGAACAGCTAGACAATAAAGAGGACCTCCTGCCAATGCACTAGATGAGATGGGGAGGCTATGCCATCTTTGCCATGGGTGGATTGTGCCTGCTGAAGTGCCACCCGAGTAGCTGGCAAACCATGCACCATTCTGGGTTGTGTGTGTGTACGTGTCGTTTACTCTGGTATTTGTCACTGAGCTGTGATTCACTGGCCTGGCGAGAGCCAGGTCTTTGCTGAGCCTGTGTCTGTCACTCTCTGGTCTTCTGTCTCTGCCCCCTGAGACCCTGCTCTGATTTTAAGTAGGGACTTAAAATATGCTGTCCTTACAGTTGACTCAAGTGTTTTAGGAGAATACATTGTTTTTCATGAAACACCCATTGTAACCTCTCAGGTGGAAGAGTGATGAGCTCCCACTGAGCCTTTCATCCTAGCGCTTTGTATTTATCCACAGAGACACTAATTTGTCTCCTTCTCTGATTTACGACGCATTTGCCTGCTGAATGTGAATGGTTGGGCTCAAAGAGAATAGGCTAGGTGTGTGTGTGAGAGAGCGAGAGCAACAGTGATTTCATTCTGCTTGCTCTGGTGGGCGAGCCAGCTAGCCAGCTTGTGAGTGAGCGGCTGCACGTCCCTGTGGATCTCAGTCTCTGACAAATGGGGCCAACGCTGCAGTAATCAGATTAGAGGACGTAAATGACGGGCTGCAAATGTCCCACCTTGTGATCCTCCACATTCATTTTATTACTGCACTGAGCTAATGAGATTACACTTCAAACAGACCAGCCGACCAAGAGCTGTCATTTACACCCAGCCAGCCGTGTGTGTACATTAACCCTTTCACTCCACAGAAGCACCGTGGCTCAATCCAGCCAACTGCTTATAAGATGATGCAGAGAGTGTGTGTGTTGCTATGTGGTCAGTCAGGGGCTGTTCATGGTCATCATGTCAGCCCTGGCCCTGAGTGAGCTGTGCCAAGCCTAGAGACGCTGCTGCCTGCTAATCCCTGTTTGTTCCCTGGCCTCTACAGGAAACCCAGGATCAACTCCCAGCTGGTGGCCCAGCAGGTGGCTCAGCAGTACGCCACGCCTCCCCCACCCAAGAAGGAGAGGAAGGAGAGGCCTGAGAGGGAGCACGACACAGACGGGGAGCTGGTGGATGGGGAGGGGGAGCACCATGAGGGAGAGCGTCCGGAGAGAGTGAGGCCAGAAGAAGACGAAGGAGAACCTCCCCTGGATAAGAGCGGGAAGGAGACACTGGACAATGACAAAGCAGAGAAGGAGAAAGAGGAGAAGAATGAGAAGGAAAAAGAGGAGGAGGAGGAGGAGGAAGAGAGCAGCCCAACCAGGCCCATCACCAAGAATCTCAGCCTCAAGGAGAGCAGCCCAACCAGGCCCATCACCAAGAATCTCAGCCTCAAGGAGATCAGCCCAACCAGGCCCATCACCAAGAATCTCAGCCTCAAGGAGGTCAGCCCAACCAGGCCCATCACCAAGAATCTCAGCCTCAAGGAGATCAGCCCAACCAGGCCCATCACCAAGAATCTCAGCCTCAAGGAGATCAGCCCAACCAGGCCCATCACCAAGAATCTCAGCCTCAAGGAGATCAGCCCAACCAGGCCCGTCACCAAGAAACCCAGCCTCAAGGAGATCAGCCCAACCAGGCCCGTCATCAAGAAACACAGCCTCAAAGAGACCAGCCTAGCCAGGCCCATCACCAAGAAACCCAGCCTAAAAGAGATCAGCCTAGCCAGGCCCATCACCAAGAAACCCAGCCTAAAAGAGATCAGCCTAGCCAGGCCCATCACCAAGAAACCCAGCCTAAAAGAGATCAGCCTAGCCAGGCCCATCACCAAGAAACCAAGCATCAAAAAGATCAGGTCAGTGTGTTTTTAAAGAAATAACATGTCTGTACAGAGTCAGTGTTTGCTTAAGCATCTTCTCTCTCCAGACATGGTCTTTACTAATATAACTCCTCTGTGTTTGCCTGTGCAGACCCAAGACAGACATTCACCAGAGTCCACCTAGTGATAAACACAGCATACAATCTGGGAAGTCTACAACCAAGACCAACAACTCTCACATCTCCAGGTGGGCCATTCTTCTCTCTACTACTAGTACTGACAGTATCTTGCAGATGGACGTTGTGAAAACCTGTCATGGCATTTCAAACTCGAACACGGTATTCTTAAAGGCCAATTCTTTGGGAAAAATCAAGTGATTCATAAATGATATTTTTATGTTCTACACCTACTCTCACTTTCTCCCTCTGACTTGTGGTTGATATTGTGTATACATTATCAGTTGGGTCTAATCACCCACACTGTGCTGGCCACCTCTGGGGTTGTATCTTAGTAAGGCAGTTTTATCAATGTAATCCTAACCCTGTGTTTCCCCCTGCTGACCAGGCCCAAACTGAAGAACATTGACCGGAGCACTGCCCAGCAGCTAGCCATAACGGTGGGGAACGTGACGGTCATCATAACGGACTTTAAGGAGAAGACCCGCTCCTCCTCCACATCCTCGTCCACCGTGACGTCCAGCGCAGGCTCTGAGCAGCAGCATCAGAGCTCCGGCTCCGAGAGCATGGACAAGAGCTCAACTCGCACCTCCACCCCCAAAGGAGAGCTCTCTGTGGGGCACGACGAGTCCTTCTGAGCCCTCCAGTCCAGGTGCTCTGCGAGGACTCTGTGGATGGGATCCCTTAGGGGGAGATATTTCACCTTCCTACTGCTGCCCCGCCCCCTGCATCCACCTCCATTCCATCACCATCCCTGGATGCTGAGAGAGCTATCTGATTGGAGCAGTCTGATTGGAGCCGCCCCGGTGTGCGCCTGATGGTTCATGTCTAATCATGGGCACACGTTGTGCATGGCCCGTGCGGGGGAGAGGGGCTGACAGGAATAATGTATTGTTTTATATTTGTATGTGGACGTGCGGCTGATTCAACAACATTTTGGTTTTGTATAAAGAAATTATCTGCACAATAACCTCCACCATTTTAACAACTCTGAAATATTATTACCCTTATTTATTACTTGTTGCACCTGTATACTTTTAGACTTATTTTGTTGAGGCTTTGCTTTGTAGTTCTACCTATCGCTCCCTTTGACACTAGTTTTGATGGTTGTACTGATAGGATAGGACAAGGCTTGAGACACCCACACAATGGTGCTAGATAGAGACACACTGTGAAACAATTTCCAACGTGGGACTGTCGTTCACACAATACAACAAAGTGCAAATAACCCAGAAATTCTCTCGCTCTTTTTCTCTCGTCCTCTCTCTTTCTCACACTCTCACTCTCCTACAGTGAGAGTGTGGACCTCTGTGTGGTTTGGACCTCCGTGTAGGCTGGTCTTTCAGGTTGATATGTAGAGGTCAATGTGGAGCATAAAAAGGTCACCTGCTTGGTTTGATTTCAAGGTCCTACAATGTCAACTCAACACACACCCAAACCTTTGCTTCTAGCTTTCTTTGTCTATGATTTAGTCTGATATAGAATTTATCTTATACAGTCAGTGTCTCCTGTCCTTAACTGTATAGTGTAGGCTATTGTGAAAAACACTAAAGTTGTTGATGTTTTTTGCATTCCGTCGCTTCAATATTGGTTAGCCAGTTGAGGGATGGAGTGGTACCCTCCGCTTCGAGACAGGTTTATTTCTGTAATGACTGAAGGAAAGGTAAAGTTCAGATCCACCTGTTAAGACCAGAGTTTGAACTGTAATATAGTGATTCCCTATACTGTTTATAATATCCAACTGATGCTAAGGGACTTCAGGTTCTAAAAGTTCCTAGCTAATGTTTTTTTCCTACTAATCTTCTTTTCGAATGCTGTTTACAAAGTTGTAATTTTCCGGTTAATTTAGTGCAAATGCCTGGACAGATTGAGAATTGATTTGAGTGACTTATCAGAATAAGATATATTTAAGACTCCAATATGTAGGCTAATTGAAGGCAGAAACATTGCAAGTAGATGATATAATAGAATATTATTGCATTTTGTTTTGCATTTTCAAACCAGTTAAAGCTTACCTAAATAACCAATTAAATGGTTCTAATTCTCCTTAGACAAATATAGACAAACATCATTTCCTCTTAACTGTATTAAATTGTATAAAGAATAAATGTGTATATGATATCTTAGTTTTATTTATTGAAGGACCAAAGGAATTTCATAATGACATGATACATAGACAAATGAATAACAATTTGAGATGCAATTATAAAATGTGTGAAATGAAATACATTTTAAATAAAGACTAATATAATCAATTTTAATGGTGTAGTTCTTTTTCACTTTATTAATAACTCGCCTTTTTACATAAATCAGCAGAACAAACATTTTCTGAGCTATATTGGACACGTAAACATTTTCAATCAGAAGTGTCTACTTGGAGAACACAAGCCAGTCGCTCCGCTCAGTGAACACTAGACTAGAGGCAATGAGAACCAGTCAATAAGCAGTGAGCTGTATTGAACTCTGCAGTCTTTCCAGAAGCTCTGTGATCTGAGCCTCTGCTCCGCTCCACTGTCCTCAGTATAGTATCTGCCCCTGCAGAGAACCAGTTGGCCTCAGCAGGCCAGTTTAATCTCTCCCTACAGACCTCTAAAGCAGGTTGGGCATGCCCTTCTAATTTACTATGACCATGAATCTACAGGGCAGGTGTTGTAGTGAAGGCTTTACTGTCTATTTTCAGTTGTAGAGACTATAATCATATGTGTGTGGTGTGAATAAGCAATGTTTGTTGTCCAATAAGCATATGTTGTAACTTCTGCTGACTCCTCCATGAGTTTCGTTTTGCTGTTCAGCCATATGATTATGATATGTAATAATATTTAAACTACATTTTGTGCAACGATATGGAGTCTCTAGAGGAGTACATTGAATGAGGGATATGCAAAATGCAATGTGAACAGAATTAATGATGAGTTGCTGAGATATAAAGAAAAGTATGTTATCAATCATTTTTACTGAGAATATTAACTCTTTGCTTTGTAATGCAATCTAGAAGAAATTGGCCTAAAAAGCTATCTTTTCACATGCTTTACCCGCAACCATATTCACTTGACTGACTTCTATGACATTATATAATTGATTAATTGTATGTTAAATTATTGAAAAATTGGCATTTGCAAACTTTGCTTGTATGTATAATTTAAAATTGTGCAAGAGCCAACATTATGAGAATAATGTCCTTGGAGCTGAACAGTTTTTCTTTCTTCTTTGTTTCTTTACGCGCAAGCAGTTATGTTCTTGTGTGCGACCAGTAACCTTAATTTACTGTGTAAAGATGGTTACATTTTTTAGCTTTGTTTGTCAGAGACCCAAATATAGAATGCTTGTTTACTGACCATATAACATGAATCTTGTGATTTTCCAATTTAAATGTATTATACAAGCTCTTTTAATTTCCCTCTATTACAATGTATGTACAATGATTTTGAAGTTAATGCTCAGTAAAGGTATGTAGGGTCAGTATATTAATCCATTTATTTCCTTTCTGTTTCCTTTCTTACTACTAGCTGATGTGTCATTGGTCACCCTGTGAGATGGTGCCATTACTTCCCTAGTGTGGAAATGTATGGAGCGTATTTCAAAGGATCACCGCTTCTTGTCTACTAGCTTATAAAATGTTGAATAATACATGTTTCCTGGCATGTGCACGACTTTACGCTTATAGGCTACCTTATAATTTCCTCTGCTTCAAATAGAAATGTCTATTTATGCATTTTAAGTGTAGTTTTTCACAAATAAAATTATTAAAGTTATCTATTCCTTGGGTGTTTTTATAAAATGTTTCCTCAGATTGAGCAATGTGACCGGAGCTGTGGCTTCCATGTCTTATCAGTCATCTCTGGCTGCATTCACAGATCAGCCGGCTTGACCATGTCCTGCGCTGTCACTGATTGAGATGTCTAAGTGTATGAGGAGGGAGGGAGGGAGGTGAGAGTGGGGGTGTTTGAGGGGGACAGTGCAGTGACACGAGACGGGGGATCCTTACACTTAGACGCCCCCCAGTCATCTCTGCTGGGGAGATCCTTTCTCCCTAGAGGATGTTTTGAAGGCCAGTAGAGCTCTTTCAGACAGTGGGATGAGGTTGAGCTCAGAGCAGAAGCAGCAGCCCTCTGCTGTCTGTCACAACCTGGATGACAATATGTTACGAATTTGCAAAACATATGATGTGTTACGAATTCTAGCTGGATGGCTAAAGTTAGCTAGCTGGCTAACGTTAGCTAGGCTAGTGGTTAGGGTTATGTTTTGGAGTTAGGTTAAAGGGGAAGGATTAGGTTTAGCTTACATGCTAAGTAGTTGCAAAGTAGCTCAAAAGTAGTAAGTAGTTGAAAGTTGCTAATGATGAGATTCGAACTCACAACCTTTTGGGTTGCTAGACATTCTTGGTAAACACCCAACCCTCCACGCGACTTTCATTTTTGCCTTTAGTAACCATCTGTCTTATTTAACCAAACATAACATATCATACTAATTTGAGTGTCCCGGATTTACGTTTACTATGTTATGTCTACTCTATGAGACCAGGCTTCTCAAATAAGTGTAAAGACCAACTAAGTAGAATTTTACACATAAATCATAAAACCTTGCTACCCTTTCTCCTATTCCACCTGTTGTTGTGGCTCTAGTCTCAGATTGTACAGTAGTTATTGGGGTTCAGTACAGTCCTTGCAATGTCTTTGAGCTTTCCAGTGACAGGGTTTGGCCTTCCCTGCTGCTTTCTCCACTCTGCCTGTCTTCCAGACTCTCCCCTAGAGAGAGATACTCTTCAGAATAGCTTCTGCTACACTCAGGTCCCAACAGATGGCTCTCTTCCTCTGGAGACCCCCTCCTCTCCTCCAGCCATGACTTCACCGGCCTACACTGCACTGTGAATGAATCCATATGGTGAGGAAGGGGAGAACATCTGCAGATAAAAGGGCAGCTTTTATGTGCAGACGAAATCAAGAGACCTAATGCTGAACAATTTGTTTAACAGAAGGAAAATGTGGCTGATATTTCTCCAATCCCAAATGTTTTGATGGTACAGTAGTGGCTAATTGATCATGTAGAAATTAGGCAGAAAATATATTGGCTTTTAATGATTCTCAAGACGAAAATTGTAGTCTGCATGAATATCTTCAAATTGCTATGACTGTCAGGCAGTCAGTCAAAACAGAAAAATTGACTGTTTTAGAGTGACCAAAAAAATGGGCTCTTGTGGCCGAAGCTGCTAAATGTGTGAAGTTAACCAACTTATTTGCTAGAAATTCTGGTTTTGCTGGTCCGAGTGCTTTGTCTGTGAGAAATGATAGATAATCTACTGGGGTGCAGTCAAGGTAGGAAGAAAACAGAGAAAGACACACTCACGCACACTGACCCAGATCATGTAGCGTACTACTGCCAGTTAGTCCTAATATTTTGGCTGTATATGCTAATTAGGGAAGTGGCATTCGGGGGAACATTGCAATATAGTCTAACACGTCCTTAGATTGGCTTTTCTAACACATAGGAAAGGCAACAGCCATCTACTAGACATTTATACAGTGCTTTTTACTAAACTCAAGTCATCATGTATTACAATCAGTGATGTAAAGTACTTAAGTACAAATACTTTAAAGAACTACTTAAGTATCTGTACTTTACTTTACTATTACAATTTTTG